GGTAAATATACTTCAACAGGTTATCAATCATCGGATCTTTTAGCGAATATTCTGATAAAACATCAAAATAATAATATAAATTGGAATATAATTCAATCAGAGAAATTTCAACCTATCATGATACAATTCCAGTACCTCGCACAAAAAGTCATCAAGGGTTACACCAGGAAGAACCTTTAAGAAGAAGGTTGTACATATCATGATATGAGTCATACATTCCATCCTTTCTCAAAAAGTTTATTCCACGATAACGATAAAACAGAAGCCCGTTCTTCACTTACACCTGGGTTTTCGATATCACAAACTTGTCAAATCTTTTACTAATTTTTATCATCAGTACAAGGATATCGTTCGTAAATATAAATCAACTTGCACACAGTTTACACGTTTAGGTGTTTTACATCCCACACTGTATGGTAGTATTCTATAAAAAGCACAAGAATGTAATCATTCACATCAAACGCTTACCAAACCTTTAAACAGACTTATTCACAAGGGATATAGTTACGATACTTTTGTCAAGTCATTAAAAATGGTATTTTATTTTGAATGAATATTGGTTCGCTCATACGGTCTTTGCATCAGAAATAAACACATTTTTTCTCATACAAGTTGTTGGCATGATACGGGTTATGTATTTCTCGTATAATTTATGATGGCATGATACTTAACCCCTTTAGGGAGGGATTGTGATTGATTTCCATATGATGCAGACATAATCTTTTGATCGGTTCAATTGAGGTCTGGAGCTTACATGTCAGTTACTGATAGTAGTCCTTTGTTAATTTATGTTGAACATTATCAATTTGATTAGTTTCTTCTGTTACCTGTTTTAACATTGGACTGGAACTTCTTTTTAAACTGAGTTTTACCGTGCTTTTTTATGTGTGTTTGTTTACTTCGAATTGGCAAGAGTTATAGAGGAGGGTTGAGATCCAAAAAAACATGTTTAACCCCACCGTAATTTTGCTCCTGACAAAAGTCAGCAACCTCTAGCCTATGTTAGTCTCGTGTTGTTATCAATTTAGATTATGTGTATGTTTCTAAGTTTAGTGTTGCGTTCATTTCACTGAACTAGTATACATTCTTGTTTAGGGGCTAGCTGAAGTCCGCCTCCAGGTGCGGGATTTTCTCGCTGCGTTGAAGACACATTGGTGGCCTTGAGCTGCTTTCTGCTCTTTGGTAGGGTTGTTGTCCCTTTCACATATTCCCCGTTTCCCTTCTCTATTCTATCTTGAACTCTAAGAGAACATACGATTTATTTACCACGGAATTGTCGAATATATTAGCTTCATTTTTGTTTGTTTTGTTTTGAACTTATCTAAAGCTATATGCCGTGTAAAATATTTTTCGTAAAAAATAAACCAATTCTAGATTTAAATGTAAAACTAAATGATGAATGTTAAATTGTTGTTAAAAACGACTGGACATTCTCATATGAAAATGGTGGGGATGACCCTGAGGACTTACTCTTTTTAGCATTCAATGCAACTAAGTATGTCAAACACGAAAAATATATGGTTTATGTTTATGTAACCATTTACAAGATATATGAAACTTTTTAAATGACAGAGGGCTTGGAATGATCCTGGAGACTCACCTATATATCAATAAATGCTTTTTCAAACAAAAACTTTTATGATTTAGGGTTGGGAATCTCATTCATTTTGAGATAGCGTTAACATTTTTAAATAAGGGGAAGGTAGTGGCCCTTATAGAAAACACATTATATTTCATTCATTTCATTATGATATGAAAAACAAGAAATTGTATGGTTTATGGTGAGGGTGAGGATCAAGGTAATTTGAACATTTCCAAATGTCAGGACGGGGATGAACCCTTTTGACTTACCTTATATATCTAAGAATTCTTCTTTACATAAAATATATGGTTAAGTTATGGGGATGTCAACCATTTTCAAGACATTTGAACTTTTTATAATGGCAGGAATAGGAGTGGCTCCTAAGGACCCATTTTCATTTGACTTGTCTTGTCCAGTTTGAACATTTTCAATCCTCATATTATCAATATCATTTACGTTTTTTGTGTCATTTGAAAAATAGCATTTTGATCTCAAATATATAGTTATTTCCATTTTTATCAAAAGTGGACAAAAGTCATATAACACTATAAGATTCACATGACGCCTTGCTTCCAACATGTAAGAAAATGAAAAACATTATCTTTATGTACGAAAATTATCGTCAAAAAATATTGATATTTAATATTTAGCCACGCAATAGTATATGACAACATATAAAGACATTTTTGGGAAAGTTTTGTTAAGATCCCATTAAGAACAAAGACGAAATTAGTACTGTAAAGTTAACATCCGGTCCATGATTCAATGAAAAAGTGATGAAATTCATTATTTGTTATCTAAACATAAAGGAATGTTGGAACTATACAAAATAGACTTGATACATAAATGTCAGCATGAACACGATAGTATATGATGCTTTTTTATGTAACTAGGTCAATCAGTTCAAGAGTAAAAGTAAATTGAAAAAGTGTGTCCCCTTTTAATAAAAATCAACAAAAACAATGGAATATATAGCAGACTTGATCCAAACCGATTATAAAGCCCGATATATATTCATAGGGATATTACTAAAAATTATGAGCTATCTAGGTATATATTACACTAACACTAGACATCAATATGCACGTTCATCTGAAAAGGTAACGGTATACATTTTTTTTTTACTAACAAAAAAATATGTCGATGTCATGGTATGTTATACTTCCTAAATATTCGATACAAAAATATCCCCAATTGGTTTGAAAGCGCACCAATTGAGACCACTGGCAGATTTGATTGTTTGGTTTGTCTTTTTTAGAGCGAGAGAGCTCCCCAAACACGTCAATTTGGAGTCCGCTAGCTGCAGAAAACATGACATATTGGGCATTGAGATAAATAATTCAATCATCATCCTTATCGTAACAATCTTCTGAAACAGTCTGATTAGTAAGCTAGTTTCTACAATCACCACTGCACTGACAACAACAAATGTTTGTGCATGACAAATTCGGTTCTTAGCAGACGCAATATTTGCTATAACTAGTTTTGTCTTTGCATGTACAAACAAAGTCCTGTAAAAAGTCAGAGGACATTGGACTTTCAAAATAAACAGGATCTATGGAGCTATTCCCCATTTTCCATCCATATTCCAAAGTTGATCTAGGTTGAGATTTGGCGATATGAGCATTCATCCAGACGTACAATTATGAGTGAAACTCGAAGAAATTGTTGTCTGAATGATGCAGCTGAAGGAGGTAGTCTCACTAAGTAAGCATCCTAAGATAGCGCCGGTTTCACTCATGACTTTATTGAGATCACCATGAACTGATTTAACATTGCTCATGGGGTCATATAGACCAGCGATGAATTGACTTTGCACTTCAACAGATATGTCAATAGTATAACCAGCTAGATTGACAAACTTTGATACAAAGCTCGCCTTAGAAAAAAATAATCCTATGGCGGTCCATTTTTTAGAAGGGTTTGTGTCAATAGAGATGGGTAGTCGACTCCTATTTGTAATTCTAGTATTAAGTATATCTGAATATACATTATATAAACTGTAAACTATAATAGATAAAGAAAAAGAAATAGATATCTAAAATGTCTTTAAGAGTCTTTTATCCATTTCTTGTATTTTTGGCTTAGACAAATTAAGACAAAAAAAAACACCCTGATACTTGTTTAACGATTTAATTATGACCCCATAGGGCTTCAACATCTGATAAAAAATCAATCTCAAAGACGCGCAAAAATAAACCTTTCAAGAATAAGATCGAACCTTGAACTATATTATTAGGTCAGCTATTTATCCCCCCTTCCCTATTTTCTATCCACGGTATACGAAAATTAAAAAAATGAGGCAATGATGGCCATTTGAACATGTAAGTTAATACGATATGTTTTTATTGTGTATATTATTTCCCAAAGGTGTCGTAAAGGTTTGAATTTCCACTCTAATACCGTCTGATTTTTATTTTGGAATGATCAATCAAATGCACTTTTTTTTCTTTGAAATTGTAAATGATGGTATTCTTCTTACCTTTTTTTCAATCCTATTATGTACCCCCTGTTTTCAAGGGGGCGTGTCTTATTAGTCGTCCCCGAATAACTTTTAGTAAATTGAACCTCAACTTAAAGACCTACACCGGGTTAATAAGATCGAGGTAATATAAGTAAACAAAAATAAAATAACAAAAATACCGATCTCCGAGGAAAATTCGAATCGGAAAGTCCCTTATCAAATGGCAAAATCAAAAGCTCAAACACATCAAACGAATGGAAAACAACTGTCATATTCCTGACTTGTTACAGGCATTTCCTTATGTAGAAAAAGCGATCCTTTATGAAATGAGATCGTCCCAGGTCTCTTAGATAATTAGTGTGCGTTGAATAACAATGAAAACTACATGAAAAGATTTGTACATTTATTAAAGACACCACCTATTTTTGTAGGTTCGTGTTGCTCAGTGTTTAGTTTTCCATGTTTTGTTGACTGTTGGTTTTTTTTAGTGGTGTTTTCCTTTTGACGTGCTTTATCAATTTTCTCTTCGACATATGAGTTTGAATATTCTTGTATTACAAAATAATAATAGAAAAAAGCCATGGAGACCGCATTTATTGGAAAGATGCTCCAAACTTCTGAATGATCACCCTACCTGTGATCTGGTCATAATCTTCATGTATTTCACAGGAAAACACTATCAAATCAAACGTTGTATTTCAAAAATAAGTATTAGATAAAATCAAAAGCCCCCTTTTTAACTTGCGTGCATTCAAATAAATTGCATTTCAATATTAAAACTTGCCAATTGCAGTCATACTCACATAAACACCAAAACTTGTATACGATTGTGTTATAATGGCATATGCTATGAATGCAAACTTTAAAAAAGAGATATAGCAACATATATATATATATATATTTTAAGCAATCGTAGAACGGAATATTGTTTGTATGTATTTATTATTAAATTACCTTTTACGTCAAGAACTGCACCATTTAATATATCTTTCATCTTTATCTCATATTTTCCTTTATCTTCGATAGTCGTCATTAGAATATTTAACTTGTGAACTTTTCCATTTTGCATCGTCGCTATTTTAATATTGGACGAAGATTTAACTTCATGACCGTCTTTATACCATACTGCTGTATACGATTGTTCTGCTTCACAGTCAAAACTTACTTCTAAGCCCTCCATTATCATTTCATTCTTCAGGGAACGTATAAACAATGCTTTTGAAATATAAAGGGTTTAAATTCATTTATGAACATTTAGTTAAAAAAAGACCTCAGAACGTTACTAGACTTAAGAGATATATACTTAAAAACTTTATACCCACTTTTTGTATTTCGTTTGTCCACCGGTTTCTTTGGAAGGGTTCGTGTTGCTTAGTCTTTAGTTTTCTATGTTGTGTTTTGTATACTGTTGTTTGATGTTTTGGTCTTTTTCTTTCTTTTTGCCATGGCGTTGTCAGTTTATTTTCGACTCATGAATTTGAATGTCCCTTTGGTATCTTTAGACTTTCTTTTGCATGGAAGTGATATACAAACTCTCTGTGGAAGTATAATTGAAATGATCGAATAAATCGAGGTATACCTTTTATATCTGTATAGAACATAAAAGGAAAATAAACGACAAATTGTGCAAATTACTAATATTGCCTACGTATACAGAAAACAGCAAACATCGACAGATTTGTTTTAAATTCAGAATGTTAAAAAACAAATTTGATAACGTTACCTTTAACAATTACTTTAACTTGTTTTTGCACGTTCCCTGCCGTAATACTATAATGTCCAGCATCACTCATACTTGCATGTGGAACTGTTAAAGTATGATCTCTTCCATCCCGGTCAAATAATATATTATCATTTCGTTCTACTTCATTTCCGTCTTTAAACCATCTAACATCAATTTTATCCGAAAAAAGTGAGAATTTCAGTTCTAAATTATCCCCTTCGATACAAGTCGTATCTGTACATTCCAATGTGAACATTGCTGAAACAGAACATAATAAAAGCGTACATTTTAAGATTCCAAACCCATTATATTTTGTTCAGTTATAATAGGCAATTCTCTGGAAAATTGTATCTAACCTTTTTACCGATGTGCGTGTGTTTGGTTCACATTTTGAGAGTAATTCTATGCAACTCGTAAAGAGAAGCATCGTTCAAGATTAATATTGTATCAAACTCCAACAGTCTTAAAAGTTGTGAACAGATATGATGAGGAGTGTTGAGGCGACGAAAATTTCAAAGTTGTATGATTTTCCATCTTTTGACAGTTCTAGTTGATTAAAATGATATTCTTCGAACAAAGCAGCATAATTCAGATCCATATTGGTAAAAACTGTATGTGTTAACTACTATGGTTGTTGTTCTCTTTGTTACAGTGCCGATTACAAAAAAAATTAAACAAAAATAAAAAATTGGATGTCTTTATGATATGCAAAATCTGTTTAAAGAAACAGAGTGATATGTTTTAAATAGTGTTCATGTATTTTTGATGCAGAAGACTATTTATTTACACTACTTTTCTTTTCCTTGTTTAACCTTTGAAGATTTAGTTAAAATGCCTATATTTTATCATATAGCAAGACGGAAGTGTGGCAAATCTAAATCACACGATACAAAATTAAGTTGATAGCACGCGATTATCTAGGACAGATACGAAGAAATTGCACAGTATTATCTTAATTCAAAGATAGTATCTTATTATCGATTTGACCAGGATGATGATGGCTATTGTTTCTCATTTGGGAATTCAAAACGTTGCACTTGAGAAACTTCTACAGGCACGTAGAACATGAGAGCAGTAGTAAATAGTTACCTAAAATGAAGCTTGTTTTCAAGGTACAGGTACAAGAAAAATATGTAGTGAACAAGTTTTTTTCTATATTGTCTTCATGAAAAAATAGAATCTCGCACTACCTGTAGCTTGAAAACAAGCTTTGTAAAATGGACTTTTTATGATATTTTTTTTCCAAACGTAATGTTATATATTCACAACATTTCGGAATAAATACTGTCATCTTTTGTTCGATCTTCAGAACTACCTTAAATCAGATCAACCTGACCTCGGGACTTTTCTTAACAATGTCTTGTTAAAGTGATAAGACACGAGATTCCAGAAAAAAGTTGAACCAATGCATGTATATATAATATGCTAAATTAAGGCATTCATGCACGATTTTTTTTACAATTATTACAAATCCATATAATCGACAAGAAATATTTCATTCAGTAAAAACTTTCCCTGCTAATTAACTGTCGTACTTTATTGCCGAAGTTTATTACCTGAATAAACAATCAACACATAATCATAGAGCACGTGAATGCGTTTCTATTTATTACAACAGTTGTTATAATGATTTGGTGTATTAATTTTTTTCTTTCAGAATAACACAATAAACACTCTCTGACTTCCACGTATGTTTACCTTTCTTTCATCAAAGTTTTTTTCCTCGCACTTTCGCTGTATGGTTGACGAAGTACTCACAAGAGGTCTCGGGGGTAAGTCACTGCATACGGAAAAGTTATCAATGAATAAGAGTACTGGAAGACAATAATTCAATAGCAGTACATTTATGAAGATTTTGATAAGATTAAGGATTTTCTATTAATGAAAGTTCTTGTACACGTGTTGTATGGTAAAACTTAGTTATTCAAGTGTATAAAACATATTCAACTTTTTTTTAATTTGAAGCATCATATGATTTTAAATCAGACTGAGTCAATCGAATCTTATTTTTACAAAACCAGTATAAAATGATAAATGTTTACGTATTTAAGCCATTGAAATTGCATTGAAGATTACGTTAATCATCACGCACATTTTTACTATTTAAAAAATGTACAAAAATATAGAAGAGGAAAAAACAGGGGTAAAGAAATGAATCAAAATCTATTGTACAGGATCCTGCAAAAACTGGATTGCTTACATTATCTAGTTTGTTTTTCAAACGTCTCGTTTAAATATTCAAGGTAATGCACAAATTTCAGCGTTCTACGATTTTGTGGTAATTATTTCCTTTAACTATAATCAATTATAGCAGCATATTTTTTCATCATACCTGAGCAAAACTAATAAAAAAAGCATCTTCAATTAATATTAAATCAACTAGGAATTACAGTAGCAAAAAATAGAAAATTACATAAAGGACTCATGTAAAGTTTTTCTGTTTGAAAGTTTGGTCAGTAACTTCAGAAGTTTTGAAAGCAATGAGAGGAGTTCTCGATCGAAGAACAGATGGTTCATACTTATAGCTTATATTAGCATTTATGTCACATGATTTCATGTATAATATGTTGCCTAATTTTCAATTTTAGAAACGGTAATCCGCAAGATCGACTTAAAATTATTTCAATATTTAAGAAAATACAAAGAACAGCTTTCTTCGTCATGAATGTATAAATTTCTTTATATGTCATAGATACTACCAAGCCAAATACAAACGATATGATAGTAATCCTCCTCAGACTAAAAAAATGTTTTGTCTTTATAGCACTGAAGCCGAATATAACTAATTGATGTAAGGCTTGTATGGTGGTAGGTATATGTATTAAAAAAATGCTAAGTTTGAATAACGCTTAAGAAAAAATATAGACGTTTTATGACAGAAACATCGACCCTTTTGCATTGTTTCAAAATAATGTTGGTTATTTTTTCTTGTGTGGATATAAACGTAAATCAGACGTTCTCATGAATTACTTATTAAGGGCCAGTATGCCAGAAAATATTGTCCAAATGGCATGTCGGAACTTTTGAACTATTTTTAAATTATTGAAATCTTATATATGAAGGAAAAGTTAAAATGTATCTTAGACCTTATTGCATCGTGTCTATGTTTAGAAACAACCTCATTTGCATAAATGCCTAAAAATCATTAAAATGCTAGTGAAAAATGTGTATAGTTTCAACTCAATAAATTCTGATTTTTAATATTACTACTGGTCATTTAAATATATTTTTGGAAAAAATAACCTGGATAGACAAAAATAAACCATGTCAGGAAAGACTTGTCTCGAACGATTATTACGTGGGGGTATTAAAGAAGGCCTTTGTAGGCCACAATGAATTTTGAAGAAAGTTTGAGTCCATCGATCTCCCAAAGTTGCATTTACTTTTTCATAAACATGATAAATAAGCATCAGTGAATAGACCAATGAATATTGTCAAAAAAATCAAAATTCCAATTTTGGCAAATTATTGCAAGACATTGAAACTTGCACCAAACTTTCCTATATTTTGATAAATTTCTGAATAATTTAAATTTAATTAAAACCCATTCATCATAAGCAATGCATTAACTTAAGACCTTTTTACATACATAATGTCATTATTTTTATGTATTATTGCCAAACAAATCTCTGAAATAGGGACAAAAACCAGTCACAGGTGTTTTATGAGTAATCTCACCTTATCTACACTCTCTGTTGTGAAAACATAATAATACCATAAGTTGTCTTTCATGGAGAAGGAGAACAAGAAATGTGAGTTCTTATTTTTACTGGTATTTCTTTTGGAAAATAACCAAATTATGACAATGACACACTCGCAATACCTATTTCACAATGAAATTAGAACACACATATACATGTGATTGGACTGCAGTGTCTGGGAAGAAGTCCAAGTAAACCCGGAAAGTTTACTGATTTTCATATCGCACTGGATTTTTTTTTTAATATTGATGCTAAATTTCTTCAGTTAAACGTATACCAGCAACACAGAGACTATTTAAAATTGAGAATGGAAATGGGGAATGTGTCAAAGAGACAACAACCCGACCATAGAACAGACAACAGCAGAAGGTCACCAACAGGTCTTCAATGCAGCGAAAAAATTCCCGCACCCGGAGGCGTCCTTCAGCTGGCCCCTAAACAAATATATATACTAGTTCAGTGATAATGAACGCCATACTAAACTCCAAATTGTACACAAGAAACTAAAATTAAAAATAATACAAGACTGACAAAGGCTAGAGGCTCCTGACTTGGGACAGGCGCAAAAATGCGGCGGGGTTAAACATGTTTATGAGATCTCAACCCTCCCCCTATACCTCTAGCCAATGTAGAAAAGTAAACGCATAACAATACGCACATTAAAATTCAGTTCAAGAAAAGTCCGAGTCTGATGTCAGAAGATGTAACCAAAGAAAATAAACAAAATGACAATAATACATAAACAACAACAGACTACTAGCAGTTAACTGACATGCCAGCTCCAGACTTCAATTAAATTGATTGAAAGATTATGTCTTCATCATATGAATATCAGGCACAATCCTTTCCGTTAGGGGTTTAGTATCATACCATCATAACATATATGAGAAGAACATAACCCGTGTCATGCCAACAACTGGTTTTTAAATAAATGTGTTTAGTGCCGATGCAAAGACCCTATAAGTGAATCAATATTCACGCCAAAATATGCAATCTTTAATGACCTGACAACAGTATCGTAACTATATCCCTTCTTAATAAGTCTATTTAAAGGTTTTGTTAGCTTCAGAGGTGAATACTGACATTTTTGTGCTTTATAAAGAATATTTCCATAAAAAATTGGATGTGAAATACCTGAACGTATAAGAAGTCTGCATGTTGAACTATATTTACGAATAATGTCCTTATACCGATGATAAAATTTAGTAAATGTTTTGACTAGTTTGTGATATCGAAAACCCTGGTGTAATAATTTTTCAGTAATACATAAATTTCTCTCGTTAAAATCTAAAACATTGTTACATACACGAGCGAATCGTACAAGTTGAGATATATAAACACCGTAAGATGGTGACAAGGGAACGTCACCATCTAAAAATGGATAATTAACGATAGGAAATGAAAAATCATCTCTTTTATCATATATTTTAGTATTAAGCTTTCCGTTAATGATATAGATATCAAGATCGAGGAAAGGGCAGTGGTCATTGTTAGTATTAGCTTTATTTAAAGTAAGTTCAACAGGATAAATTTCTTTAGTATACATACTGAAATTGT